AATGGCCGATAGAGGGCTGGCCGGCTCCAACATTGGCGTTAGCCAATCATAACACAAAAGACCAGACAGACTGAATACTGGTTATTCTACCTTACACACGGGTTATAACTTAACTTAATTCGCCTGCTATGCACATGCGTAATCGGTCCCGGTCCGGACCGCGGGAGCGACAAACTACTTAATACACAGGCCCCACAATGACGGTTATGAAATTCACTCACGCGAATGTGTGATCTAATAATAGTTGGCTGTTAATTGTTAAGCCCCGACGACATCATCTTAATATTTACTTCTTCGTCGGTAAGGTTTGCGATTGATTTCCGAGTCCGTGTTGCTAATGGGCCCCTGCCAAGCTTACATTGCTCACATTATGTCGAACCTTACCTAGTTGATAGCTTATTTAAACGTGATTTTTGTCTCAATATATTGCCTGATATGAACCAGCGTCGATACCTCTAATCATGCAACTCAGGGCTGTGAAAAAAATGATTGTGATTGTAGTATTAACAACATTGTCAATCACAATATTAATATTGATCTAATTTCGCGCGTTACCAGAGCCAATAGAACCCGCAAATATATCGTCCCACCAACCAGACAGCTCAAAGCGAGCTCACAGGAAGTTCCGCAGCTTACACTTGCGCCAATTTCGTCATTGGTGCAATACAGAGATGTAAGGAGGGTCCACATCAGCCACGTCATTTTCAAATTTGCCCCAGCACCGCCGACCAGTCACGGCAGCGTACACGACATGAAGAACGCAGCATATCGGCAAGCTGAAACAAAACGGCTGTGATCTCAAGCCCGTACTACTCCACGAGCTCCGCTGGAGCGATTGTTACAAAATGCTACTGCGATTTGAGGACTATCGCCCTATTTTTTTTTACATCTTTTCCGAGACGTGGGGTGGAAAGAGATATCCCGGTAGATGTTGGCCCATGATATCCCGGTAGATGTTGGCCCAGAAGATATTCGCTGAGTTGCGATAGTGGATATAATTCTGTCTGTGTGCGAGTAGCGAAAATTCGCTGCTTTCAAAATCAAAAAAGGCGTTAAGTCGTCTCCTAGTCACCTCGCAAGCTGACTCTCAAACAACACCTTCCACCGCGACCATAACGCTGTCAGAGCGTAAACGTGCTGCCGATGTGCTCGATGAGATGATTAGTAAGAATGTTCTCAAGCGCAGTGGACCACAATCAACATTTATCGATGCGAGTTGGATTCCACCTGTGTCGGTAGCTGCGGAACGCCTTTTTTTTTCTAAAGTCATGAGCACTGTGGGCTACTTGCGCAAAGGCATGAGTCAAGATACTCTAGAAGTCATCATGTTTCTAAACCTCAACTGGTACTTAGTCACGCTTGTGGGCGTATCTAAAGCGATTATGCAATCTAATAGCAGGTGGAGTATAGATCAAAACAATATATTGCAATATACACATCTTCGATTGTTAAAGATTGCAATAATTGGTTGTTTGAGGTCAGAGACTACAATCAATATACAATCTATATTTCCACAGCCCTGCGTGCAACTGTCAAAATTTGTTTTGAGTTTTGTGTTTGTCAAGTGTATTTAATCGGAATATGCCATCTGGTCGGATACCATTGTCATACTGTCTACCATCATCCTATACTACCTGTTCGACTTTAATATTTTGATGTGGTTTTTGGTCTTCGATATGTTGCCTACATCAGCAAGTTTGGTAAGCGCCCAATAGCGACTCGCTATACTGTGTCTTCGTTGAACTTCGGAGAGCGTCACAAGGAACAGATGACTCGCTTGTTCAAAAGTGCCGCAACCATAATATCCTAGCGCCCTTTAGTATCCTCATTCAGTTCCGCGTCGTTGTCATCGACTCCACATCGCATGTCTCAGAAGAAGATGGTTACTTCTGTGATGATACTGCTGCCAAGTGCGTCAGGGAATGCTAAGTCTGGCTCCATTGACGGCTAGAAACAATATTTATACCAGCATTTCAGTGTTTCAAGTATACTTTAAACACCTCACGACAATAGCGAGGCAGCACAAACCCTTAAGAAGCACACATTTCAATTTCTTGAGGGCTTTTTGGCTGATTGATAATTATCACGACAATTATTTTCAATTGCATAAGAAATATAAAAATCCTTTCCATTAACTACGATAAAACGATATTCTTTGCCAAAATAAGAATTACAACGAAGACTTTTTCACTGTACTAAGGATCTTACTTGAGGTTTGCATTGTGACGCACAGAACAAGGAAATGTGGATCGTGGATCTGAAGACATACTTATCACGTGAACCGGGGAAGCTGGACACCGATGACTACGCCGTCGAGGAGGGCTGGTTGTTCTTCTACTGTCCACACGCGAGGAAATTCGGCCAAGAGCGTGATCTGGCTGGGAAGCACGTCGTTCAGGAAAATCTGTAAGAAATATTTTGCATCTTTATCTCGCTAGTCTGGAAGGAGGTCACTAGTGCATCAGGTGGACGTACCAGAGAATATGAGCGTACTTTCACCTGACGTTGGCTATTCTGGAGTGTCCATCGCCACGTGAAAAAATGTACGGATTATGAGACAGGGAAAGAACGTCCGCCGCTTAGAGCAGACACCAGAAAATATTCAGGCGACGTACCCATGCTAGGACGTTGCGACAGGCCACACCCGTCTCTACCGAAGTCGCACAAGGGGAACACGGAGCTGAAAAATGGGTGAGTTTTTGTTTTTTTCACTGGTTACGTGGCGGTCAAAGCTAACGCGTTGGGACAGCGCAGACAACCAACGAAGATTCCGTCTTCTGCTGGTTCGGCACATGTGAAGCGATACACGTCGATCGAGGCCGTGCTTCATGGCTCATTTCTTCCACACGTTCAACCACATCGTAGGAGAAAGCCAGAGACAATGGCATACCGCATGCTGGCTAACGGTACTGCGTGGCGAATGGTGCAAACGTTGACGAGGGCCCTGAAGGTGTATGTAGCATACGTAAATCAGAAAGCCTGAGAGACGAGTATGGAGAATGCTTGGCGTTTTCCATCAACAGGGCCCACGATCGTGTATGAGGCGACACCCCGCTCTACTTCCTACATGGGTGGGAGGCGATGTCAACGCTGGAAGTGACGCTATCGCTGGGGCAGCACCCACCTCCGCGACTGGGATGCCCGCAAATGGTGCACAACATTCAGCATCAGCTCCGACATGAATGAGGCCAGGTCAACACAACGCAATGATGTACAATCAAGGTCGGACCGGTTCGACAAAACGAAGGCGAGCTTTACACCATGTTAAAGATGAAATCAGGTGTAACTGTATTTGAATCGTGTTAAGAAGGATACGCACGGAAGTTGGCGCATTGGTGCTGCTGTTCAAGAAAAGGGAGCGGAGTCTAAACTTACGGATGGTTGCGAGCCCTGCGATCTATCCTGTTCGACGCGCAATCTCGACCAGGGTGCAGCTCATGTTCGTCGAGGAAGTGATTATGCCAGCAATCGGCGTTATCCGTGATCGTCATAGCCTCCAGCAAACCAGCAAGATCAGCTTCTGCGTGAACGCCAGGGTACCTCGGACCCACCTCTTTCAGTGGTTTTTTCCCGCTAAACTGATCGTTGCTGCAGTTTTGGAATCGCACGATGATCTTGGTTGCACCACTTTATGAGCCGCATTGTCTACTAGTGTGGTCGAGTATTCGGGTGTTGTCACGTATGTTGGCATACTGCTGAAGTTTGCGTCCTTAAGCCAAATATTTTATCTCTGCAGTAAATAGAAGAAGCCCAAGATCGTAGCGCCCATAAATCCCAGTCTTCAGTAATGATCGAATTGAGGCTGCTCTGTAAGACCAGATGAATTCGTTTAGAATTTGGCTGTTTAAACAAATATTGTAGACTGTACAGCAGAATGCCAAAGATGACGATCATACGTCTGAGGAGCAAACCAACGCCAAACCCAAGGTTGCACCGATGGTTCCACGAGGTATGACTGATCTTGAAGAGCATAGGCGATGCTGAAATTTTCGTGGGCGACTGAACTCGTAGCGCAAACAGTATACGGCGAACAGAGCGGTTGAAAAAAAATGCTTGGATTGGAGTTGGGAGAGCCAAGGAGGAAACTGCATGAATACGCGCTCTGACCAATATTTAGTTGTCGACGACGAGGCCAAAGATTTGAAGTATAAATCAAGAAGAAGATCCTGTAGACATTCCCCAGCCCAGCACTACTGCAGCCTGTTTCCAATTAATACAAACGTCAGTTCATAAAGACGCACGAAATTCGCGCCACGCTCTCGAGACCATGACTGCTTTCTTGTGGGTCGTTCCAGGTATGTGAGCCGCTAAAACCCGGGTGCTGAATGCGGCTTCTCCGAGGCTATCGCACCATTTATTTCTTCGGCCGCGTGCTGACAACCGGTTGCTCCATGATACGGCTGACAGGTTGCCACTCCAACAACGAATGTTAGACACGGTTGCTTCGTATCGCATGTCACTGATTACTCTACATTCACAAGTAAAGTGCGATGCATAAACGCTCTATACACGAATAAAAAAACGCGTCTGTGGAGATAAGATAGAGTTCTTCTTTATCGAGACGGACTTGAAGATATTCATTGCGAGCCAGATTCAATAAGCCCATGCCAGATTACTTCCATGAAGAGATAAATGTCTGGAACCATCATTGTTTTAAACATATGCAATGGTAGTTCAGATAGATGAGCGTCGCACAGGGTGTGCAGGGACCTACGTAGATTCATCAGGGCCGCCTCTGTTAGCTACACGCAACCGAAATAGAGTCATCAAACGACGGCTAATTGCATTTGCTAGAAACGAGGCTTCACAGACCAAATACTAGTTGATATTGGTACTAGAGGCAGTTTCCCGAGTCAAAAGAGTGTTAATACGACCAATATATTTGTCAAAATCGGCCTTTTTGGTATAGGTACGGGGCTACTGGGATATGTACCAGCAAAGTGTTCGGTACGGACTACGAGAACAGATACGTATTAATACACCACACCAGGTAAACTAGATTTGTCAAGACAATCGTTTTGTCAATGTACCAGCCGAGAAGGATAAATCCTAGATTCAGTCGAACTTCTACTAGCAAAGCCACCTCATCTTTCTCCACCACGCTGAAATGGGTTGTAGTGAACTAGTTGCAATTGGCCCAGGATGTCGGC